TCTGCATTATTTGCATGTCATTCTCTTATATTCCCTTGTTTTCATTCACAGCTGTTTTGACTTCAATGTTCCACCAAGCATCATTGTTGATTCTTGTAATTAACTCCACACACTTCTGTCACAGTCTCTTATGAAATTCTTTTTATTCAATTCCAGGCAACTTCCACATCCTTTTTTCCGATGTCCATTTCCCATAGATTCAATTGGAAGATTAATCTGCCTTCTAATATTTTACCATATAGGATTTGTACTTCATGCGTTTGCTTCTCTCTCTCTCTCTCTCTCTCTCTCTCTCTCTCATTTTTATTAAAGATTTTTAAAAAGGAAGATAAAAACTAATATAAAGTAAGAAAAAAAGAAAAAGAAATCAAAGAGAAAGCTAAGAGTGCAAGAAAGGGGAAAAAAGTAAAAGAAAAATAGAAAAGAAAGAAAAAAGATACAAAAAAGTAGTTTCTGATCTTTACAGCAGTTATAAGTACAATTATAAATTTATCTCTTACTCTTTGGTTACAACATAATCATAGTAGAGAGCTGAATAAAACATGTTAAGTGTTGGGATCTTTGAGAGAATATTCAGGGCCCTCAGAAATCCTTTTTTGTATCTGAAGAATTTGCATCAATTTCAGCATAGTTTCATTTCAAATGTCTTAGTGGTGTAGTGCACTGTTTTTAATCTTTCCCTGTGGGAATAGATTTGGAGCCAGTTTAAACAGACTGGTTGAAAATCTGGAGAAGTCAGCTCTTGCTCTGTAACACATAAAAGGTAAAGCGATCTCTCTGCTTTATAAAGAGCTTTTTGTTCAGGGCTGTCTCTGATCACCAGCTATGACTGTAAGGAGCTGGGTCACGAATTGAACTAGAGGTTCCATGTGGGAAACCATTTGTTACTGTGTTAGGGACAAAGACAGATTCATGTTTCAATTATTCTGGACTGGTTTGTTGGCTGGTAATGGGGACCTGATCAAAGGCTGATGGAAAAATAATTACCAGCCCAGTAAGAAATATTTTGTGAAGAGCCATTCTTTCCTCAGGGTGACACACACGGAGGCTCAGAGATAAAATAGTCACCAGACCTCCTAACTTGCTTGGTTATTTTCTTGCTTTGACTGCGTGCTCAGCACAGTCGTGGAAAAAGCAGGTCTTTGCTCTGAATGTAATAATGCTTAGGAACAAAGAGAGTTGCCATATTCGGAGCCAGACCTTGAGTCCATGGATTACGTTAGTGGTGGGCAACTGGTAGCACTCTGTATTATATTGAAGTATCACTTCCAGGATCCATCTCTATTTGTCACGCTAGCTAAATCTGCTGGGCTTTGCAGTTCAACAATATCTGAGTGCACCAGGATGGCCCAGTACTGTTGACTTTGACTGGCCCAGAGTCTCCAAAGTTTTAAGCAGGATTTTTTCTGGTTTTATCTGGAGATGCTGTGGATGGAGTCTGGAATCTTTGATATGTCTGATGTGCTCAGAACTGTTCCAAATATTTCCAGGCAGACTCTTTGTAATCTGATCTGAACAAAGTGGACCATGAGACATGTAATTCTCCTGTTCTTCCAATATATAATCCTTTCTCCAGTGACCTATAGCCCTTGTGGCTTGCCACACTTTAATTACATTCCAAAGGAAGAACCATGAAAGTTGTGGGAACATTTTACTGTTGGTTTTATTTTGTGTTAGCGGAACTCACTTATCTCTATTATGGAATAGAACTGAGTGACCAAATTACGTAGTTTGCATCATTTGTGTGACAAATGAAGCACTAATGTATGTCAATTTCCCACACCATATGGAAAAGAAACAAAAAGCCAGCCCAAACTCCACTGTTTGGAGTATTTCATTCCTACTGCCAGAAAGTCAGTGCAATTTTAATATTGTTGATTTTTCACCTGCCATTAGTGCAGAGCTCTGTGGGGATTGTTCCCACTTAGGCTAATGTTACTGGACGTGTAATTTGGGCCATTTCCAATTTGTACCTTATGCATGGTGGGCTTTTCCACATTAGAAGCTCTGTTCAAGACCTTGGCCGTTATATGTGCTGAAACCAAAAACACTGTGGATCTGTCATTCTCAATCGTTAAAGCAGCTGAATTTCACTGTACTGTAATACCTAAGGTATTGGACTTGGGCAGAGGAAACCTAGATTAAAGACTCCCTCAACCAGAGAGCTCTTAGAGTGACTGGGCCAGTCATTCTCCCTCCAGTGAACCTACTTCACAGGATTTTGGCGATAAAATTGAGTTCTCACAGAAAAGCAGTCAAACAGTCAGCCTATCCATCCATTCTAACTGTAGTTAAAAAGCTTTCTCAAGCTTAAGCTTAAATGTATCTTCTTGGAAACAGAATCAGTTGCTGCGTGTTCTTTTTCTGCAAAGATTCCCTCAGTCTTTTCTCATATAAATTGCTTTGCCTGCCAATGTCCTCCATGAAATGTTACATCTCAAGTTGAACTTTGTACTAATTTTTCAGATTTGCTGAGAGTGCAGTATCTAGAGAAAGAAGCCTTTGATTGTGCTGGGTAGGAATTCCAAGAGCTGGAGTCCTAACAATCAGGAGACAATGAGCTGATGTCTCTGGTTGCCCCAAAGGATTTCAACTGGAATATTCAAAGTATTTCTGTTAACAGGTAGCTAGGAATAATAATAATAATAATATAATAATAATAATAATAATAAGTATTACCAGGCAGGCTGCATTGAAACCCAAAACAGCAGCTATTGCTGAAACTCAGTACTTGACCAATAGCCCATATATGAAACTTGGGAAGGAACAGGGCAAGATATTAATAGGTGGCTTACCTGGCTCCATTACGTGATGAGGGATCCCTTTTTCCTTGTGGTTACAGTATTCTAGGAACTGAAAGGTATTAGCTGTGCCTTCTGTTCAGTCTCTGTTCTTCTCTTTGCTTGTTTTTATACACTTGCAGGAAACTGCAGGTGGAGATAAGCTTTTTGGCTGCTTCCTGTCATGTCTTACCACTAGGCTGCTTATCTCCTGGCTAGTTTTCATGTGAGCCCAAATATGTTATCCCTCCATTTAGATTATGAAGGTCTTTGCTTTGAACAAGCAACCAGTTGTGAGTACTTTGGCCCTAGAGCAAAATGATTTTATTTTGTTTTTTTAATTCCCAAGGCCTCTTGCTTGGATGCTAAGATTTCAGTGCTGCTCAATATTTGCACATCCTTTCCCCAGCTGTTCCCTTACTGCTGATTTCCCACATATATCCTGCTACCTCCATCAGCAGGTAATAATAGTGGATAAGATGGGTAAGACATCACCCAAACTGGTCGCAGACTATTGCATTAGAAAATGGAGCATTGGATGAAATGTTTTCAGTGGGTTTCATCCTGTTCCCTGCAGTTGTCTGCTCATTACTCCTTTGCTTCTAGGCCCAATGTCTATCGCAAGCAGCATGAAAGTGCCCTGGTTCTTATCCTACTATATTCTCTGTCCAAGCAATCCAACAGCAAAGGGAAGAGAAACTACAGAGCAAGTAGCGTATTCAAAATAGTTCTATTAACAAGTATCCAGGAATAAAAAGAAGAAGAAGAATTATCAGGTAGGCTGCACTGAAACCCAAAGCAGCAGGTTTTTCTGAAACTCAGTCCTTGACCAACAGTACATATATGGATCTAGAAAAGGGAAAGGAGCGAGACGTTGCTGTACATTATACCGTAGTGTATTCTACAGTATGGACACTAGACACAAGTCCTATTTAAAAAGAAAAAAAAAAGCAATTACAATTGCAATTCTTAAAGTGTGTGCCAAGAGAATTATAAAGTTAATTCTAATGCATTTAATTGCATACTTCATGAACTCCACTCAATGAGGGGGCTGTTTGCTGAAACTCTGCATGTTTTAGTCTTGCTTCTTTTTGATCTTACTCTGCTGGAATAAGTAGTTTGACCTGCCTACTCTGAACCAAGAGTGGTTGTATCAGAAACAGTTGGCTCTGGGAAGTTGCAGAATTACCTTCTTTAAAAGGAGAAAGCCCATTATAGCACTGTCTGAGTCACCGTTCTAGACTTTCTCCTTTCAGAGAGGAAATACACTTGCATTATGGATTGTTTCAAATCATGGAATTGTTCCTCTGCTAAGGAAAGCTTGTTACCTTTAAATAAAATGAAAGTAATCCATTCCATATTTTGCTTTCTAGAGTAAACATGCACCTCAGCTCATGATTTAATCTTAGAAACAATTTAGCTCTGCTCAGGGATTTCCCTGAATATCGAAGTCTGAAACTGAGTAGAAGAAAGTCTGCATATAGTGGTCTTTCCCACTTATTTCATGGCCCCCACCTTCCTTGCTGATGGCTGTTTCCAGTCTCTTCCTATCAAACAAAGAGATTGAAAGAAGGATCACACGGGAAAGCAAATGGTGCAGCTTCAGACCTTGGGAAACGGGCAGCAAGACAAGGATAGAGCTGGCAGGATGCAAGGATGAAGGGAGCAGTTCCTCTCTCTAGGTGTGTCCCTCTTCTCTGCCCAGTTTTAGGCGCAGCAGGCAATAAACTGGGTTGGTCAAAGGGTTTTGTCATGGCTGTTAAGTCTATAAAAGTGGCCAATGTACAGCACATTCCCAGTGTTGTGCTGCTGGTGCACAGTGGGGAGGCTATTGACTCATAGAAGGAATGATGGAATTATTCACGTTGTGGGAGCAGCCCAGCTAGTGTCATATAATGATATAATAATCTATAGCATGTCCATTGTCCACAGTCTGTTCAAAGCATTTGGAAGAAATGTTTTGTAATTGGTGTTAATGTGAACAAAGTACTTCTCTTAAAGTCATTAAAGCAACCACAGCCTTTGCAAAGCATGTTCGGCTTCTTCAAAAGCTGTCTCCATTCAGATCACCAGTGAAATGAAGTGGTTGCAGATGGCTGGGAATAGTTTTCAAAGCAGCTGCATGAGCCCCATAAAAGAAGCAGTTGCTTTAATGATTCAAAGAGGTGGTTCATTTACAGACATGTGTGCTGCAAAACACCCCTTTGTGTCTTGTATAGCTCTATGAAATTTCAACATATACATGCACGGTTGCAATATTACAGCTTCATTCATATGCAGACTCATGCACATGCAGGCATACCTTTACGTCAGCACGATAAATTAGGATGGTATATGTACTGTATTGTGTAATTCTCCTGCTATGTAACTCATTCATCCTTCATTTTTTGTGCTTGCTTCATCTAGAAACAGAAAAAAACAGGCTGTTTGCCAGCTTGCTCCTGAGGTGAGGTTTGGTTACAGTAGACTTCCAGAAATGTTATTCATGGCACAGCTGCCCCAAACTACTTTTTGGGGTTATCACTGCTTTTCCCGCTCCTACCAAAAGAAAGAAAAAAGAATGTAGGACATGATCAAAACAAAATAGGCTTTAGAAGGAGAGGGTAATATGCACAAACCAATATTCTGCATCAGGGGTCCTTTAGGCTATATTATGGAAGGAACTGGATGACTGGAACAGTGTATGAACCCACATTTAAACCTAAACCACATGATTGCGACTTGGCCCTGTAGCTCATCAGTCTGTGCCTGGTATATATATGAGATCAGTCTAATATGTTTTTTGGGGTATTGTGTCACTATAATAATATAAAAGAATTGTGCCATGAACCCATATGGTTGTTGCATGGTTGTCCGATTTAGACAGATATTGCTGCTTTGGACAGACATAATCTTTCCTCTTAGACCTTTAGCCAATAACATTCATCATTCTGTGCATATGCAAGTGTGTTCTGAAAAAAATACATTGGTGCCAACCCCTTCTTGTGTATTTTGTGAAACCACAGGCCTGGGATTAAGCTTCTTACCAAGGACTGTGCTCTTGAATTGGCTTAAGCCACGTCAGATTTGCCACAGACAGCAGTATACTGCTTTTTCATGTATCATATAGTTTTACCCTGAGTAAAAAAAACACTGGGAAGAATAATTTAGATGTATCTTAATTGACTTTTTTTTTAATGTTTATTTATGTTGAATTCCTTTGGCTTCAGCTGTTGCTCAGAATAGAACTGGCCTCACCCATTAACCCTCAGGGAGCCTTTAGTTCCCACTAAATAGAAATGGTCAATTTTCTTAACTGAAATTGGTATGCATTCAGTTTTCTGGGCTTATTTTTTGGCTCAGATGCAAATTTGAGTTGGAAACTTTGTAGAGGCATGAACAGGACATTTCTGGTGTTGGGGAAGAGAGAGACATGGAGAATATTGTATATGTACAAAAGAGGCCTTCAATAAGATGGAGGAATTATACCCCAGTTTTTAGGAGCTGGAAGCAGCATAATGTGACAAGGTATAAAATGATTAGGAATGAATGAGTGAAATCTTGTTTAGCTTGCAATGATTGGAGAATTAAATCAATTTTATGCGCACTGGAGGAAATCTGCAGAATGAATTTGTGATGCTTGTTCAGATTTGTTCATAATAAATAGCCTGCTTGTCTGAGGATTTTTTTTTTAACCAAATGACTGGGTGTTTGTCCCTTGAAATAGATTAATTTAATGCCCTCCTTTTCTAAAAAGCAATATCATTAATTGAATAATAAGAGTTTGAAAAAAATTTGTAAGGAAATACATGTATGCTTGGAAATAAATATTATAAAATTGAAGCTTTTGCAGCAGGTATGTATGTATGTATGTATGTATGTATGTATGTATGTATAACATTGAATGCCACTGGTTTTTCTCGATCTGATTTGGCTGAACTCAGTGACTTGAGGGTGCTTGCAGTTGTTATTAGTCATATTATTAATTAGATTTATATCCTGCCTTTTTTTTTTTCAAAAATTCAAGATTAGGTGCATAATATCCTTGTTTCAAATTTTCCCCACAGCAGTGAACTTGTGATAGTGCCTAGCCCAAAGTCACTGAATGAGTTTCCATTGGTGGGCTTGAACCTGGCTATCTCCAGTCCTAGTACAACTTAATCATGACATCATGTTCTACTTTATTGGCTTTTGATTAGCATGATATATGCACCCATCCATTAATATACATACTGAGCCACTTTAGTTTGTTCAGCAAACTATTTCCAGAACAAATTCTGGCTATAACATTGTATTTTTGTACATCCCATAACTGGGTTTAACCTCAGCATGTGGCAGCATTTCTGTATTGTTACCATGTATTGGTAGGAGTTGAGCTCAACTCAAAGGGGGCTTTATGACAGAACAGTCCTGCTGAATCGTTCAAGGGGTTCATAGTATAGCATTTTGCTTCTCACACTGGTCAACCAGATTCAGGAGGTGGTGATTTACCCCTCTTCCACTGTTGTTCTCCTGCAGCTATTTGGAGGAGTGTTCCCTCCAGCCCAAAGGTGACACTGAGTCTTCAGGACTAATACACCTTGAGAAACCTGTCCTCCAAGAAGTTATCCAATCCCCATTTAAAGCCATCCAAATTAATGGCCATCACCATGTTTTGAGGTAATGAATTCTACATGTTAATTATATGCTGCACATTTATCTATGGCTCCAGCCTCTGGGGACCAGTAACTGCATGTGGAATTTTCTGAGCGTGTGATGGGCACTATCACAAAACAGCTGCAGTGGTCAACCTGTGGGCTTGTGCAAGCAAAAGAGGAACAAGTTTAAATGGAGAAACATGCGCTCTCCCTTGGCCATGTGAAAAACCTTGTTTCCTCTATGTGTTTGCATGTAACTGGGAGTCAATGTAAGTGTCTATAAATGTTTTCTCTTTGCCTGGGGAAGTAGGAACAAGTGTTATCAGACAGCTAAATCCATAGACTTCCTTTGTGTAGGTAAAGAGAGAGGAAGTTTTAAAAAGAGGCTGCACAAGCTTGATTGTAACAACCTTTGTCTCAGTTTAGCAGCTTGAAAGTAAGATAAGCCTTGTTTATGGCTTAGAATCATATGTATGCCAAGTCGATGTTGGCTTATTTAGGGCTAAAATATCTTGGCTGCAAAATCCAGATGACTGCTAGATGGCAGAAGAAGAATACCAAAAACTCTTCAACTCTTTGTTGTCTTTTAGTTCATTCAAAGTATCTTAATAAAGCAAGCTGTGGA